AGAGTACTAAGATTGCAAAATTGAGTAAGATGTAGTTTATCCTCTGAAACATATTAAAGTCAGTCTAATGGAGGGCAGATATGCTGAAAATTGGTTGAAATGCAATGTAGTGTTAAAGCTAACAAGATAATAGTGGTTCTGAACTTTGGATGGATATTAGGGTCACCTGGAGTGCTGTTTAAAAATCTAAATTTTCAGACATGTGTGACTGCTTTTGCCTAGAAAGACAGAAAAATCTTTAGCTGAATCTTGAATTCTGTATGGTTTACCAGATTAAGAAGAGAAATAATATGACTGGCTGAGGAAATAGCCCTTAGGAAACTGCACATTTGGAAAAGGTAGGTTTTAGTAACAAGAGAGGCAGAGATGTGTTTGGAAAAGTAGGTTGGAGACAGATCTTGGAGAGCTCTAAAAAGACATTTGTACTTTATGTATTTGTTATGAAGTCACTGAAGGGTTTTAAGCAGTGGGCCATCATGAGCAGATGTCTTGGCTGTGGCTGTACAAGCTCACTCTGGTGGCAATGTTAAGGAAGAAGTGGATCACCCAAACCTAGTTCAGAGAGACCCATTAATAGGTTAATACAATGACTCAGACAAGAAGTCCTGTAGATCTGGATTTAGGACTGTAGCAGTGGGGGTAAAGATGACACAAATATGAGAAATATTTGGAGAGTAAACAGCTTGGAACATGAAAGGAGGGCATGTAGGAAAAAGGGCACAAGATTATGAAGCTGCTCATTTGGGTGATCGGGAGAAAAAAATCACAGTAAAAAAACAGAACTCACAAAGGGAAGTCAGTTTGGGGAGGCATATGTCTCATTTTAATATTTGCTTAAATATTCCAAGGTTAAATCCTTGGAAGAAATTGCTAGGATGCTCTTGAATACTTAAGCTGGAGATTTGGAAAGTAGGTAGGGCTTGAGATAGAAAGTTTTGATTTATATTCATCAATGTGATAGCTGGGTTCTCTGAAAGTGTGAGAATATCCTCCCTTTCTTCCTCTTTTGTTTACCTTACCTGACAATCCTTTAGTGACAAAAAGCACATTATATATATATATATATATATATATATATATATATTAAATTTAGTACAGGGTCTACAGGGTTTCACTACACAGATCAGACTCATAGTGATCCTCCTGTTTTCAGCCTCCTAAGAGCTGGGATTACAGGTGCATGCCACCACACCCAGTCTCAATCATGGGTCTTAGCATGCCCCGGGGGCAGGGCTGGCAGTGCTGGCAGGGCACATCGGGTATCAAACCCCAGTCCCTGTGTCTGCCTAAGCAGGCACTTTAATCCTCTGAGCTATCTGGACAGCCCGATTATATATTTTTTAAAGTGCCTCAGCACAGTTGATGTGATCATTAAAGGAATATTTAGGACACTGGGTTTGATCAAAATATTATTTGTTAATATTTCAGTATCAGTGGGTGGCGGAGTAAGTATGCATTGAGGGTCCAGCTCGAGCCTAAATTTTGTGTTAATCATAATTTAACAGGAGAGGACCAGGTAGATAGCTTGGTGGTCTAAGCTCCTGCCTGTAAAGTGCAAGGACCCGGGTTCGATCTCCAGTACCACATGCCATGCCAGCCCTGTCCTGGAACTGGGAGTGGTGGCTCATGCCTGTAATCCCAGCAATCAGAAGGCTGAGACAAGAGGATCACTACAAGTCTAAACTGTGTAGAGAGACCCTGTACTAAGTAAATAAATAAATAAATAAGATTTAAAAGTTGATTTAGCAGGCGGTATAGGAGAATCAAGAAAACCTGAAATTTACTTACCAGTAATGTATTTATTATGACAATCAAGCACCCTCAATCCCCATAAAAAAATTTATTCTACAACAGTGGTTGTCAGTCTTTGAGCTTTAAATAATCCCAGTGCCCAGCAAATGAAATGAATAGGCACTTCTTGAGAGAAATACAAAAGGCTAATAAATACATGAAAAACTTTTCAGGATCTTTGGCTATTAGAGAAATGCAAATCAAAGCAACACTGATCCAACACTCAAGAGGCTGGGCATGAGGATCTCAGTGAGTTTGAGGCCAATCTGGGCTACATAGTGAATCCCTGCCTCAAAAGCAAACAAAAAACAAAACCCAAACCACTGAGATTCTATTTTACTCTAGGAAAAAACAGCTATTATCAAAGACACAAAAAATAACAAATTCTGGGTAAGTTGTGAAGAAAAAGGAACACTTCTACATTGTTGGTGAGATGGTACACTAGTAGGACTACTATGAAAAGCATTATGGAGACTACTCAAAAAACTAAAGATAGAAATTCTACTTTAGCCATCTATACCTCTTCTGGGTATCTTCCTGAAAATTTAAAGTAATACCTGTTTATCTACATTTATACTAGCACAACTCACAATAGCTAAATGATGGGAGTAGCCTATTTTTGCATTAACAGATGACAGATATATATATATGTTAGAGTGCTATTCAGTCATAATAAAGGAGAAATTTGAGTCATTTATAAGAAAATGGATTGATCTTGAGACTATAGTACTAAATGAAATAAATCAGACATGGTTAAATATTGAATGGTTTTCTGAGTGAACCAAAATATAAAATATAAATAATTTAAAGATCAAAATAAGAGACATGGTAAGAAACAGGGTGGAATATAAATTAACTAGATGAGATATGAATATGATGAATGCAATTATGCACATTACAAAGATATACTAATTTGAAAAGTTAACAAAAACCCCTTGCCAAGGATACACCCCATTAGTTAATCAGAACCTCTGTGAGTAGAACCTGGCCAAGCATTAATATTTATTAAATAGCTGAAGAAAATTCTTTGTGTACCCACATTTTGGAATTCTTTCTGTAAAGGATGAGAGCCTCTAGAAGTAGAGGTGTGAGTCAAGGATACTGGCCAGCATGGCAGGAAAGAGTAGTGCTAGGGGCAGTATGTGTCTAGCAACTGAATTGCCCATAGGTTGAGCTGCCCAGAGTCAGAGGTGAGGCCATACTCAAATTGCCTTATGTTATGGCTTGTGTCTAGATGTTCCCCCAGAAGCCTCCTGTGCTCATAGCTGGCTGGCTGTAGGGTGTATGATACTAGTATTAAGAGGTATGGTACTAATTAGTCTACCCATTGACATTAACATTGTTGTGGGTGTGGCTGAATGGATTTACTGAAGCGGAAGCCCTACCCTAGGTGCTTTTTAGCTTATAGCCTAGATAAAAGGGAAACTCAGGTTGCTTGCTGCTCCTTGCTTGTCTTGCTGTGAACTGTTTCTCCTCTGCCATTCCCCTGTGGCGTGCTGCTGTGCCCTGAGGCCAGCTGACTATGGATGAAACTTCTTGAACTATGAGCTGAGATAAATCTTTCCTTCTTTGATTTTTAGTGCCAAATACTTTGTCTCAGCAGTGAGAAGAGTTACCAGTACATCACACCTCAGACTTAGGGCTAAGAACTTACAATGAAAATAAAAGCTGAAATAATAGTGTCCTCCATAAACTCAGTAGGATAGTAAGAGAACAAGAGGTCAACAATTTTGACATGGACAGTAACACTAACAGCATTAGTGATAGTTACCCCTTCAGGCACCAAAATGTTATTGAGAGGCTATACTTGGCACCATTCGAGAGCCTAGGTGCTGAGGATACAGTGACAAACAGGGTAGACTATGTCTTTTCTCTCTTGAATCATGGATGTCAGTGGGTGGTGATGGCCAAATTTACATCAAGCAGTGCCAAGTGCTATGGAAAGCTTTAAACAGAGTGATGTAATACAGAGTAGCAGATGCCTATTTGGATTCAAAGAAACTGCTTTGAAGAAGTAACATTTAAACTATGAATGATAAGAGTCAACTATACGAATTATTGGGAAAACACAGTAGATGAAGCAAGCGTAAACAAAAAGGCCCCAAGGCTGAAAAGCAAGCTTAGCTTAGCATGCCTGAAAGAGATAAAGGATGCCAGTGTGGCCAGATCAGATTGAATGGGGCACAGTGGCATAAGATGAAGTTCTAGAGGTAGTCAGGAGCCGTAGAAGCCTAACAATGATAAGGAGTCTAAACTTTAAGTATGATGGAGGATTACTGAATGGTTTTGAGGAAGAAAATAATATGACCAAATTATATGACCTAATTTCTATTTTAAATATCACATTACTGTTTGGAAAATGGATTGGGTAGTTGCAAATAATGAAAACAGGGAGACCCATTAGTTGAGCATTTGTAATAGCAGTTGTCCTGGGCATTGTTGACATTCTAGTCACTCTTAGTGATGACAGGAACAGGAGACATCATCAGTACTGGAGGGAAATGGCAGGCACCACATGGCAGCAAAGCAGACTCATTTTCAGAGCACATGTAAGATAGCCTCTGAGTACTTATTTCCAAAAATATTAAAAAAATCTTAACAAGGGTTATTTATAACTCCTGCAGAACAGATGGGAGAGGAGTCAGAGATATATCATTTTGTGATTGTGATTCCATATTACTGCTTTGACAAATTATAAACTGGATTACTTGTTAAAGAGAGTCTAATCAAACCTATATTAAATTGAATATTATCAAATACCTTTTTTCAGTAAAAATCCCTCCTGTATGGAAACATTCATATTATTATATTCAAATAACATAAGAGCCTGGGATATAGCTCAGCAGTACACATATTTGGCAATCACAAGGTCATGAGTTCAATTCCCCTACAAATGACATCGAAAATCTTGAGATACATATTCATAAAGATTCAAATAACATAGAAGGTAGATGCTATAATTGTTAATCTTCCAGTGTTATTCCTCCTCAGAGGTAACCATAATGAGCAGTTTAGTGAGTTTCCTTCAAGGTATTTTTCATTTTTATGTATTGTTTGTGTGCATATATAGTTGTTCCATAAAATAATTCTATAACTATCAATCTGTATATCATTTTAGAAAATACAACAGTAAGTCAAAAGCATCTTTTCTTTTTTTTCTCTTTCTCTCTCTCTCTCTTTCTTTTCTTTTCTTTTTTCTTTTGAGACAGGACTTCACTATGTATCCCAAGCTGTTCTTGAAGTCTCTAGGTAGCTCAGGCTGACCTTGATCTCCTGAAGATCCTCCTGCCTCAGCCTGCTATGTGCTGGGATTATGGAATTACAGGTGTGTAGAAAATGTACTACCTGGTAGTCCATTTTCTTTTTTAAGATAAGTGTGTAAGTTCCATTTATGACTGTTTTGGAATATAGTGGATCAGTTTCCTCTTGGTGAGCATTCACTGTTAACTTGTGCATCTGTGGGAACATGATGATTGATAAATGCTTTATGGTTTTATTGGATATGCAACTAGATTGTCCTTTAAGAAAAATGTCCCAAATTACACTCCCATTGATAGTGTTTCAGAGTCCCTGTTTCTGTGTACTTTCCCTGGGTTTCATCACTTTTAAAAAAATCTTTGACAACAAGATGGGTAAAAACCTAGCACTCCATTGTTGTTCAATTTGTTCTTTCCTAACTATTAGTAAAAGTGAATAATTTATTGTATTTACTACTTACATTTTTCGGAGAATTATATGTTGATATTCTTTACTGATTTTTCTGATGGGTTGTCTTTTTTCCATTGACTTATAGAGGTTCTTCAGATACTTAAAGTATTTATTAATCATTTTCTCACATAGTAGAAAAATTTCTTTTCTACTCTGGTTTATCTTTTAATTTTGTTTATATTACCTTTTGTTTTACATTTAGATGTCACCAAGTCTTACATTTCTGGATTTGGGACTTGGAGCTTGCTAAGCAAGGCCCTTCTAATCAAATATATAAAATGTTCTATTGTACTTAATTTTAATACACTTTTAATACCTTAGAAGTCCCTAGTGTGTTTCTCTTTCATTACTTTCCCTTTGGTCACCACCAGATCCAATCAAGATCTTGCCTTTTGCTTTTCTTTACATATTATTTACCTATGTGTTATATATTGTTTAGTTTTGAAAAGTTAACTAGCAAGTACTCATCTTACTGTTCTTGAGAAAGAGCACTAAATAAAGGGTTCTAGTGGAAAAGCCTTGGAGTACTGCCTGTTTTCAGCTTTCCTGAGAATTTATAAGAATCCCTTCTAAGGAAGTTAGTGAACAAAGTTTTGAGTGCTGTTGTGTCACACAATGACATGCTGGAGCTGTTTGATGGATTCAGGAAACTGATGTCAGGTTAGCAGCTTGAAATTGCCCACATTGTGTGGAGGGGATGGGGACTGGGGAGAAGTTGGTCAAGTATACAAAATCTCAAATAAGGGGCCAGTGAGATAGCTTAGCAGACTAAAGTGCCTGCTTAGTCAAGTGCAAGGACCATAGTTTGGTCCCCAGCACCACATGCCATGCCAGACCTGCATCTATGGTGGGCTGAGCTGGACAGAGTCTGGGCATGGTGGCCAAAGCCTGTAATCCCAGCGCTGGGGAGGCTGAAAGCAAGAGGATCACCATGAGTCCAAGCTGTGTAGTGAGACCCTACAACAACCAAAATACATGAAAAAGGTCAGGAGGAATAAATTCCAGAGACTTTTGTACAACATGGTGGCTGTAGTTAGTAGTAGTGTAATAAATACTTGAAAGTTGTTTCAGGAATAGATTTTTAGAGTTTTCACTGGAAAAAATAAATACATGAGATAATGTGTATGTTAATTAATTCAATATGGTCATTATACAGTGAATACATATTTTATAAAAAATACCACCTCATCTAACATAAAAATATGATTTTGATTTGGTAATTGAAAAGAAAAAAGAAATTGCCAGAAATGGGAATATATTCATCATGAAATCGATAAACTCTAAAATCAGAGGCTTTTTTTGAGAGCTCACTGTAGTGGATAGCTAACTGGTGGTGAACTTACTATAGCCAGCTGAATTAAACTAGTGTGGTGCTGGGTGTGGGAGGCCCACCAGAGAGTTGTTACCATCAGCATAAAGGCAGAACAGGAAAAGCTGTTGAAATGCTGTTAGGGATGCTGTTGGGAGAAGCTGTTGGAGGCTGCCAGTTCTCTTGGGCTGTTCTGCTGGAGGACCTTGTCATGCTGGTTTTCACAATGAACTTTGGAGAAGCTTGGGTCCTCATCTTGAGCATTGCTTCTTGGCTCCAGAGGAAAAATAGTACAGTGCTCAGCCTCATGAAGAAGTTTGTTACATTGACTTTCCTCATCACTGGAGGAACTTAGGACCTTACTGTTGCTAAGAATGACTGTGAATACTTTTGGGGGAGCTCTGGTGCTTACCTTGAGCATTGCTTCCTAGCTCCAGTTCAGTTCCCTCAGCCTGCTAGCACAGATCCTTCATCCCACTGGCTGAGGTGACAGTAAAAAAATTGGATCCTTTACCTTTTAGTTTACTGGTGTGATTTATGTTGAGCAGAGACAGCCTCTACTAGAGAAGACTTCTGGGAAAGGAGCATGCTCAGAGACATAAGTTTTTAATTAGTAAGGTGAAGGGAACATTTAAGGAAGAGGCTGAGATACTGCAATGTTTAATTTGTTATGAAGTGAGCTTCAGAAAACAAAATTGGGGGTAAGGAGGGTGAGATAGTGATTTATTTTAGAAGATGAAGAGAGTGGTCTGAGAATTAAGACTTAAGTTATGATGGATGAGGGATTTGGAGGTCTGGTGTGACTAAAAGATGTGAAGAATTTCTCTTAGTTCAGGCTGCCATAACAAAGGACCATACACTGCAGGGCTTACGCACTAGACACTATTCCTCATGGTCCTGGAGGCTGGGAGGTCCAAGATCAAAGTGTTGTCAGATTCTGGTTTTGGGGAAGGCCCTTTTCCTGGCTTCCAACAGCTTCCTTCTGGCTTCTTTCTCACATGACAAGTAGAGAGAGAGAGAACAAGCTCCCTGGCCTTGCTTCTTAAAAGGACTAGTCTGTCTCATCGGGAGGCATCCAAACTTAATTACATTCCTGAAGCCACACTTCCAAATGCTGCTAGTTTAGAGGTTGTGGCTTCTAATTTAGAATTGGGGCCAGGCATGGTGGTTCATGGGTGTTATCCCAGCACTCAAAGGCTGAGGCAGGAGGATCACTGTGAGTTCCAGGCCAGCCTGGGCTACAAAGTAAGTTTAAGGTCAGCCTGAACTGCATAGTGAATCCTTGTCTCAAAAAGACAAAAAGAAAAAGAATTAGAATTGGGGGTACGGAGGGGCACAAATGTTCAGTCCATAGCAGTAATATGTCACACTGTGAAATTGCTAGACATACACATATAAAAATTTTTTTTTGTGGAACTGGGGATTGAACTCAGGCCCTTGTGCTTGCCAGGCAAGCGCTTATTCTACTGAGCCATCTCCCCAGCCACCTATAAAATTGTAATCAATATCTAGGTGTATAAACATTTATACATTTTAATATAGAACTTTAATGGTGGTGATTTGCCTTTTGAGCAGTTTACAATCATTCCCATCAATAGATTTTGATAGTTCGTTTCTTTATAACATCATCAGTAAACATTAGCTACAAGCAAATATTTAATCATTTTTTTTTTGCAACAAGGTCACTCCATGGTCTACTTGGCCCTGAAGATGTGGCAATCCTCCTGTCTCAGCCTCCTGTGTGCTGGGATTTACAGGTGTGTGCCACTAACCCAGTTTAATGATTTAAATTTTGCCAACTTGATAATACGAACCAAAGATGATATTTGTTTCTGCTTGTATTTGTCTGAATCTATATGTATGTGTATACATGTGTGCATTTGTGCGTGTGTGTGTGTGTGTGTGTGTGTGTGTATTTTAATTTGGAATCTTTACTTGGAGCTACATTCCTGGCCTTTAGGTTTTTCATGTGTTTTATTCTGAGACAGTGCCTTGCTAAATTGGTAAACCGCCCAGGAAGGATTTGAATTTGCACTCTTCCTGGCTTAGCCTCCTACAGTCCTGGGATTACAGGCATGTACTATCACTTCTACTTGCATTTTGCTATTAGTGAGGCTGAACATTTAAAGATGTTTTATTGAAAAAATGTTTCAAAATCATTTATGTATGTATGTGTGTATTTATGCATGTATTTATTTGATACAGGGTCTCTCTACACAGTTTAGCCTCATAGTGACCCTCCTGTCTCAGCCTCCCCAGTGCTGGGATTACAGGTATGTGCCACTGTGCCCAGTTTCTGTTCCAGAGCTGGCATGGCATACAGGGATAAAACTTGGATCCTTGCACTTGCCAGGCAGGTGCTTAGACCATGATGCTATCTCCCTGGCCCCTATTGATAATTTTTGCCAAAACTTTTCTCATCTTTGAATTGCTTATTTGGCTATTTTTCTTTGAATTTTCTTTTCCTATTAATTTGTAGGAACGCTTCTTTATGCATATTAGAATTTTAGTGTCCTAAAATATTTTCTTTTTTATTTTTGAAAAAATAAAAACCCTTGATTTTGTTAATGCTGTCATTTGTTGTACAATTTTAGATATTTATGCAGCCAGCGCTTTTATAATTTTTCACTTCATAGCTTCTGAGTTTCCTTTTTTTTCTTGAGACATAGTCTCACTATGTATCCCAGGCTGACCTTGAATGCACCGCAATCCTCCTGTATCAGACTCCCAAGTGCTGGGATTACAGCTGTGCACCACCATGTCTGGCTCTAGTAGAGCACATTTGTTTCCATTATTTTTGTTTTTCAGAAAGTTTTAATATAAGATCTTAAAGATGAATTTCTTAGAATTAAAATTTCTTTAGGTGTTTGACAAAAATTTGACTTATCCACTGATTTTGGAAGACTTTTTTGATATTCCATTGTTCTACCAGAAAATTTGGTATACTTTTCCATATCAGTATTATTTATTATTATTATCAGTACATTTTGTAGTATATAATGTCTGTTTTCATTGTGAGGATCTGGCTCATGTGCATAATACATCCTAATTCTTTTTTTTTCTGGTCTCTTTCCCCTACCTCTTTCACTCCTCCTACCATCACTTGGACCTCTTCCCATTTGCAAAAGCTCTGACCCCCTTTGTTTATTATCTATCTATTTTGCTCTTCAATTTATATTTTTGGTTTCTCATATCAGAGAAACAATGCAATGTTTAAGCTCGTGTGTTTGAC